GGCCCCCTCAGGTGGGGAATACGCACAATGCCCAGTGGTCACCTGATGGACGCGAGCACGCTGACGCTCATGATGATGGCACTGGGCCAGGCAGCCTTGGGTTCTGTCGGACACGGGTCCCCATGAGTGCCAGTGGGCTCCTCAGCAAGGAGCACAGGGACAGTTACTGACGCTGCCAGGGCTGCGCCGGGCTTGCTGCAGGTAAGAGTGGCGCCCGGCTGTGGAAAGGGCCGAGGGGGCCCGCTGATATCCCAGGCTTTGGGGGAGAGGGTGTGGGGCAGAGAACTTCCTGGAAATAGCAAGTCCTTGTGGGACAATGCTGGTAATAAGCACACACACACACACACACACACACACACACACACTCCCCTCTCCAACAGTCTGCTTTTCTAGAGCCCTTGAGAGCCCAGGTCTCCCAATGTGCAAGTTGGGGTGAGAATCACAACCTGCTCCCGGGATCCTCTGGGGTCCATTGAGACAAATGGAGACAGGGTGGAGGGAAGGGCCTCTGCGGGCCAGGCAGCCACCTCGGGGAGGGCAGGGAAGAGGGACTCTCTCAGACTTCAGAGAACAGAGCCCAGTATTTCCCCGCACGCGTCCAGAGATGGCTGGTGAGGAGCCAGCCACAAGGAAACCCCATCCCAACACCAGCAAACCCCTCTGCAAGCCCCTCGTTCTCACCTTCTTTATCACCAACCGTCCCATCGTCCCCCACAACCAGGGCGTGCCCCAAGTCAGCCACCCCGGGTCCTTCCACGCAAACGGTCCCTTCCCATGGGAGACAAGTCACAGAGATTTGGGGAGTGAGGTAGTTAGTCTATTGTGCCAACCTGGCCGATAAACACATGTAGGGTTAATTGAAGGGCAGAGAGATAAATGCCTGGGTGAGCCTAGCCTTTCTAGTTCTCTTGCTTTGTGGTGGTCAGACCAGGGTGCAGCTGCCTTAGCCAGTTTCCTGCTTCAGCTGGCAAGGCTCACTTCCTCCAAGACACCCCCAAGGAGAAGCCACATGGCCTACCCCGATACAGCCCTGGGTGTTGGAGCAGCCGTGTGGAGATCCCTGCCAGCGCTGAGATGATTACACATTCACTCGGCTTTCCTCCTGCACCTGTTTTGTGAGGTGGAGGAGGACTTTGTGGATAGGTGTCAGACATATGGGTTAATGGGTTAATATTGGTCTTGTGGGCTTGGGCAGCACTGGGTTGGGATGTTTTCTTGATGTGCACTTACCCTTTATGTAAAACTCTCTCTTATACATGAGTTTCTGTGGATTTGTTTCTCTAAAGTACTCGGACTAATACAGGGGGATTGGCTGTGTCATAGCCCCACACCACCACCACCACCTCCAACCCACAGCAGTTCTTCCTGGTGGTCAGCACAAAAGGCTCGTTACAGGACAAGGGGACTGGTGCCTTCTGCTGCTGCTCCCAAAGACACTTGCCTCAGACGGTCCTCAGAGGCTTGTGTCCTGGCCTTACCTGTGTAGCAGAGGAAGAAGAACCCAACCCGATGTCAGTGTACAACAGGGAGCCTGGCCACAGAGCCCCTTCCCTGCACACAAAGGCACCGCATTGTACGCAACTGAAATCCAGAGACCTCCGCCCCGTGGTGCTCTGTGCGGTTTTGTTGTGGGGATGTGGATCTGTACTTCAGTCATACACTGGAGGCAGCCTTCGAAGGCATGGTGTCTTGAGAAACTGGTTTGATTTGGGGACATGTCAGCATTTCATCACTAATTCGCTACAGACCCGTCTCCCAGATTCAAACTCCTGATGGGGAGAACAAATTCCTTGTGCTCCCTCATCCGTACGGATCAGCTCTCAGCTCAGTAGCCATGCTTGGTTGGCCCGGCTGATCACCTCTGGGCCCTGCTCCAGCTAGAGCTGGTGACAAGAAGTCAGGTCTGGAAGTGGGAGAAGCTGGAGGGGAGAACTTGAAGGGCGAGATAAAGTTCACCGGGTCTCAGGGAAGGAAGCATCTTGGCCAAGTTATCGTCCCGCCTGTTTGCATTCCCCTGGAGACAGAGAGCTCACCACTGCACCAAGACAGCCCATTTTCTCCTTGGGCGGCGTCACTGGCTCAATTCTTCTCTTCCACTTAAACCACAGCACAAAGTCCATGCAAACAACAGCTCGCTCTGTGTGGATGTAAAATGTGGGTTCCAGTGGCACCAAGCCACCCACTTCCTCAGATGATCACCCTTTAGAGAGGCATAGGCTGCTCACCCTGGTCCTTCTCTAGCCTTGATGGGGTCCCCTTCTTCTGGCACACGCGCACTCTCGAGTGCACACACACATACGCGCGCACACACACACACACATACACACAGCAAAGTCCTGTGAGCTTGCTTTTCCCAGGAGTGCGTGGCTTTTAAGATTGTTCCTTCAGTCTGGGGAAGAAAAACAAAACCACTTCACACAGTAGTTTGTGAATGTAAAGTGCTCATAATTTCCAAGAAACGGTATGGGCAGGGAACAGAAACAGCTTCCCAAGTGTTTGCGACCCATTTGTGAGCACGAGGTCACCATGGCTGCCGATTTGGGAACCTTTGGAGCCTGTCCGTGCTGGGAACCCTCGGTGCTGGGATCCCTCGGTGCTGGGATCCCTCATCTCTGCTGACGGCCTGGGAGCTGGCTCCCAGTCTCCTCAGTGCCTTGTCTGGACCTCCGGCAGTGGACTTCCTGGGAAGCCGCCCCTGACCCGCTGGTTGGTCCTGTAAAGAGTTCTTGGGTATTGAAATGGTGGGTTGGCTCTACTTGCTTTTCTCTTTTTTCTTGATGAAGTTAAAAAAAAAAAAACAACAAAAAAACCCTCCAATGTTTGTGCTCTAACAGAACTAAGAGAATCATAACTTAAACCTTGCACCCTTCAGAGTGGATGTCAAATAATTCTGCGTGTTCTGCCGGGCTGGCTTTGCTTTACTCTGGGCTCTTTTTTGGTGGGGAGGGGCCTATCTACAGCCTTCCCCAACCCTGACCCCGCCGTCTCATACTTGCCACCCAAAGTGGCCATGCCTATGAGTGAAAGGCGGTTTTGTGGGCCAGACAAGGAGGAGATAACGTGAGTGGTGAAGAAGCTAATAATATCGCACATTCTCTGAGCACGGACCCTGAAGCCAGCACTGAGCTATGCTCTTTAAAGCAACCGAGTGTGGGGAGGCCTGTGACCCTCTCCCTCCTGCAGAGGAGCAAAGTGACGTTCACAGAGATTAAGGAAGACCCCAAAGTAAAACTCAGGCTCAAGCCACCCCTCAGATCCCTACACTCCTCCTGGCATCTCTGCCACGGAGGCACATCCCCATTGTAGACAGGAGGAAAACGAGGCTCTGGGCAGCAGTTAAGGAGGTTGGCCCCGTGTCCCAGCCAGGAAGCACCAAAGGCCTAATGACATCGAGTGATATTTTCTGAGGAGGACGAAATCAGGGAGTGAAGACAGAGAGGGTTTTTTAATGCTCTGGTTAGACTAGGGACCCTTGAAGGCCAGACAAGTCTGATTGAGCACACACACACACACACACACACACACTCACTCACTTATGCCCTTCAGGCTACCCAGCCTGCCCCATGGAGACCATGTGTGCTGGTGGGATCACGGAGCAAGCTGCAGGCCGCCCCATGGCATCTGGGTCAGAGGGAGGGGAGAAACAGGGTCGCAGTGCTGTCTGAGCGGGAAGTCTGGGCCGTGGTGAATGAGACAGGAGAGTGTCCTCTGGGCCCAGTCAGCCTGGCTGCAGCAGGGACTCTGACCAATGACATGCAGGGGCAGGAGTGGGCGGCCGGCTGGCCATGGGGCAGGACACAGCTTACCCCTGAGAGGCGCCCTCGGAGGGCCTCGGGCAGCTACTCCTAAAGCCAACCCGCTGACCACGCAGTTCCCGGGCAGTGTGGGAGACACTGCCCTGCCCGGGGGAGCCATACACTAGACAACAAGCAAGTAGATGAGTAGAGAAGTAAACCAAGCATCTCAAGATCCTGCCTGTCCTTGGAAGGAAGGAGGCAGAGCTGGTGGAAAATAGCACGGTGGTTGGTTGGGGAGCCTCTAGGAGTGGTGGTGTTTGCGCTGAGGTCAGAAGCAGAAGGAGCCTGCCCCGGGAAGCATTGGAGGGAGGGCACTTTGGGCAGAGGCCTGCAGGTGCAAAGGCCCTGATGCATGAAGAGCCCTAGGGATCTCTAGGAGGCCAGTGCCGCTGGGGGTAAGGTGGGCCTGGGCTTTCTCAGTGCTACAACTGCAGTGGACAGAGAGCCCAGGCAAGGTGGCCTGGCACCCTGCATTCAAGTCCTTGCCCAAGCAAAGCCGCTGGGGAGAGTGACTGAGGCAGGCCCTCTTCTCCTTTGGGCCCCGGGCACCATGGTGGGGCTGGCCTCCCAGGGTCCTGGTTTTCAGGAAGGGAAATACTTTCCCATGGCCCCCTTCCCCCATCCCACCATTCCCATCAGCCCCTGGGCCCCAGGACTAGAATCTTCCTCTTTTGAGGTTCCCAGAAGGTCTTGGAACTCCCACTTCATCCTGGGACGGAGGGGCTGAGGGAGGAAGGAAATTCTCACATACCACTTTCTCCAGGGACTCTGCTCTGTTCCCAGGCTGACAACTGGTAACCCTCAGAACTCTGGCCCCCACCCCTTCCTCCACCCTCTCCACCTCTCCCTGCCTCCCTCCCTCTCTCCCCCTGCCCACCCCCTTCTCCAGCTTAATGACTTCCACATGGGCCTCTGGAGGCTGGAGCCAAGCCTCCCAGCATTGTCTGAAATCTCCAAATTTAGAAGAAATATGAAAATTGTCAACCACTCCTTCCTTAGGGGGTAAAAGCAACATTCGGCACCCGGGGCAGGTCAAGGCGAGGCGGTCACGTGGCAGGCGCCCCGGCCAATGGGGGACCCCCGGGAGGCCTCGGCACCCGCCACGCCCCGACACCGGGCTCGCCTCTTCAGCTCTTATAAGGTAAAAGGCAGAGAAGCTCCCGTGGCCTGGGAGCCTCGGGCAAGGGGCTGAGGGAAGGGGGGCCCAGTGCCAGCCGTTTAAAAATGCCCCCATGCTGTGAGGGGTGCCAGAGGCTGGGTCAGGTTAACTGAGGCGCGGTGACACTCCCAGCCCTCCCCCAGTAAGCTGGCTCCTCTCTCGCCACGCCAGGAGTCGCCCCTGGACCAGACTCCAGGAGAGGTAAGACGTGGGTGCATGCCTGGGGCTTGTGGGGCCTCTGCTCCAGGGGCTCCAAGCGGGGCAACTCTGCCGTCTTGCTCACCAGCCCTGTCCTGCCCGTGCGTTCTCCCCTCTGGGCCCCGGGTCTTGCAGTGCACAGGGCTGGGCTTGGTCTCGGCATCCATCCCGCCCCGGCTGCTCCGACGCTGCAGGCCTGTTGGCTTTGAGGATTCCTTGTCCCTGGTGTGCAATGCAGTCCAGGCTACACAGACGAGCCTGCGTGCGTGTGTCTGGATTCTCTTCCCGGACTCCTTAGACACTGTGCTTCTTCCTTGTCCGCCGAGGTGTTGATTTCCCCTCGCCAGAAGCCTGGTCTCCCGGCAAGGAAGCTGTGTTCAAACGTCTTCAAGAAGCAGAGCTGAGGAAGCAGGGGCCTTAGCTCAGGGCTGGGAGTGGAGGGACTGGTCAGCGGAGAGGCAGGCATGCTGGCTGTGCGCTCGACTATAGCCACGGGAAGGCACTGGGCCCAGCCCGGCCCTGCCACGCACTGCCTGGCTGTGCGGCCCAGGGAGAGACGCCTTGCCCTCTCTGGGCCACAGTTTTCCCATCTGGTCCCTGTGTGAGATGCAGTTTCTGAGCCCCGATCAGAGACCCCTCTGCTGAGCCTGCCTTTTGCCCCCAAGGGCTTAGATGCCTGAAACAGGTAGGAGCCTTTGGAGGTTGAGCCTAAAGTGACGGAGAGGAGGTTGTTAGGTTGAGTGCAGTCCATTTAAATGGGGCCAGTGTGACCGCAAGGGCAGCAGTTCAAAATCACCAGCCGCTCCCTGGGAGAATGATGAGGCTTTCTATTCCCAAAAAGGGTTACGGTCTCGGAAATGCACCCCACCCCAGCAGGGGGAGTAGGGGGCGGCAGTTCTACTCCGTCTTATGGAGTTACTATGAGTCAGAATCCACCCGACGGTGGTCAGTGTTGGAGTCGGGACCCACACAAACAGCAGCCGACGTGGCACTGGAAGCCACAGAAGGAAACACGGCTATAGGTCACCAACAAGGGGATGGCCACACTGGGGCAAAGGTCAGGCCGGACTCCTTAAAGGGGCATGAGTAAGAATAATATGGCACTTAGGAGGCTCTGGGGAATATGCTAAGATCTCTCTCTCTCTCTGTTTATCTCTCTTGCTCTCTCTCTCTCTCTCTCTCTCCTTTTGGACTAATTTTTTGGATCTTTACAGTAATCTTGGGAGGTAGATGCACTTACTCCCCTATTGTGCGGTGAGAAAAGGAAGGCCCAGAGAAGTTGGGTAGCTCGTTACAGCCACACAGCTGGTGTGGTGAAGCCCAGACGCTGTGTGCTGGCTGCCTCGGGCTGGCTTGTTCCTTCCCCCACAGAGGGGTCTCCCTCTCCTGACCTGCTCCTCCTTCGTCACCCTGAAATTTCCAGTAGTGCCTCCAGTGTCTCTCGTGGAAGCAGCGAGCCCGGACTGCCCTTCAGACCTTCCAGGAACCCCCGAGAGGGAGGACTCGTCACCCCCTTCTTCTCACAAGAAGGGGACCCCTTCAAGCATAGAGTGTATCCACAGCTGTGACGCCAGGAGACGGCAGGGGAGGGCAGCTACCAGATCACCCAACACCAATACCAAAGCCATGCCCCTGGCCCGCACTGTGCGGAGTAAATGCCCACACACACACACACACACACACACACACACACACCCCACCCCGACCCTCGTGATTCAGGGGACCGACTAAGCCAGAGGGGGACTCCCTCTTCTTCTGAGCCCACCGCTGTCTCTTGCACCCCACTGCGGCTCCGGGCAGGAGTTTGCAGCTGCTCCCTCAGAGCCATGCAGAGCCGCTGGGTCAAGTCAGCCCCTGCCTCAGGCCCCGGGAAGATCTGGGACACAGAGCCCAGAGGAAGGGGGAGCACCAGGCCAGGGACCTACTGAAGGGGACTGGTCGATCAGATCCCCCCACCTCAGGCTGGGCCCGGCCTCCTCCTCCTATCTCATCTGCACTGTTGGGGCCACAGCGTTGTGTGGGAAAGAGCAGCGAGAAGGGCTACTTCCGGTGGCTGGTCACTGTTTCCATCTCCCTTGGTGCACATGCGCCAGATTTTCTCTGAGATTTGCACCCAGACTGCAATGGCCGGGGCCATGGTGGTGCTGGCAGGTAAGCGTGTGACTGCTCACCTCGAGGTCAGTGGTTCAAAGCTATCTGCTGCCCCTTGGCCAGAGAGATGAGGTGTAAAGTTTGACGGGCTTGGAAACTCTCGTGAAGGCCACTATGTGCAGGGACAGACTCCATGGTTGACGAGGGTGCAGGGCAGACACCTTCACAGGAAGCCCCAGAGAAGGTGCCAAGGCAGTGACCGCCTCTTGCAGCACCTGAATGCCTGGGTGATCAAAGTCCTCGAAGCACTATGTCCACACATTCCATTTTGTGGATTCCACCTCCGTGTCCTTTCAAAGGTGAAGCGAGAGACAGAAGTCGTGATGCAGGTCCAGCTCCTGCGGGTACCCCGCTCCAGTCCATGTGCATGTCTACGGAAGCGCCCCACAAGCCAAGTCACAGAGCACCCTCTGACCCTGGGCCGGGCATGGACACTGCTCCCAGAGCCAGCAGTGGCTCCATGGCCAGGTTCCAGTCCGAGGTCGCCTGTGGGGTGATCTGCAGGAATTCAGGGGAAAGAGCCTGTGCTGGCTGCCACTCGTAATGGCCTGTCTAGACAGGCCCCAGGGGGCTGCACGGCACATTGCAGGACCAGGCAGAGGCCAGCCCCTTCCCCTCTTGCAAAAGAGGCTTGTTAGAGCAATACTCCAGAATTGGGGACCTTTCCTCCAAACTAAAAAACAATAAAAAACTCCCTACCGTCGAGTCAATTCTGACTCAAAGCAACCCTACAGGAGAGAGTAGGGCTGTCTCTGTGGGTGTCTGAGGCTGTAACTCTTTACAGGAGTAGAGAGCCTCTTCTCTCTCTGACGGAGCGGCTGGTGGTTTCAAACCGCTAACCTTGCAGTCAGCAGCCCAACACGTTACCCACTAGGCCACTCAAAGGTCTCAAATCCACTCACTTTCATGGGTGACCCACTGTCGCAGTCGTCCAGGGCAGCTCTCACAGAAACACCACAAGGGGCTGGCTTTGACAAGCAGAAATGTATTCTCTCACCATTCAGAAGGCTGGACATCTGGGTTCAGAATGCTGGCTCCAGGCAAGGGCTCTGGAGGAGGATACCTTTTGATACCTGTGGGCCTGTCTTCCTTGGAGAGCAATGTATACCTTGTCATCTATCTTCCCCCAGGTCTAGAAGGGTCCCAGGAAGGCAGGTGTGTTCAGCTACTGGTCCTGAGGTCTCTCTGTCCCTCCTCACTTGTTTAATCTCTTTGCTATATCAAAGGAGATTGGCTCAAGATACAGCCTAGTCTAGCCTCATTAACAAAACTGCCTCCACTCCTGCCTCTTTAAAATCCCCAAACCCAAACCAAATGCACTTCCATCCAGTCCATGCCAACTCATAGTGACCCGGGGTAGAAGTACCCCTATGGGTTTTTGAGACTCTAACTATTTACGGGAGTAGAAAGCCCCATCTGTCTCCCGTGGAGTGGTCGGTGGTTTCGAACTGCTGACCTTGCAGTTAGCGGCCCCACAAATAACCAGTACATCACCAGGCCCCTCTGGATTTACAACAGAAAGGATAATCGCATCCCCTCACAATGGAGATGCTAATCTGCTGAGATCACAGCTTGGGGAAAATGACCTAACCATGAGAGCCATGGCCCGGCAAGGTAAGACTCATGTTTGAGGGCCACATTCAAATCGGTGACACCCTCTGTCACCATCTCCTGCTGCCCCCTTTTGCACCGATGAGAAACTGAGTTTGAGCCCAGAGCTTGGCGGGAATCCCTGCACCCAGGGGAGGAGGGCCCAGCTCGGGTCAGGGCCCAGCTAGGCTCCTGAGTGAAGGGGTCCGATGGGAGGCAGGATGCCTGGGTTGGAAACGGACCGGTCTCTTAGCAACTGCGTGACTGTGGGCCTGTTAAGTGCTCTGGTGGTGTAGTGGTTACGCTCATGAGCGTTGGCCCGCCACTCCCCGGGGGAAAGACGGGGCTTTGCACTCCCTAAAGACTTACAGTCTCAGAAACCCTCAAGGGCAGTTCTACCCTGTTCTCTGGGGTCTCTGAGTCAGCATCACCTCGATGGCAGCGAGGGTGAATGAGCTGCCGCGTCTCTAACGTGGATGATGAGACACCTGCCCCACTGAGCCGCTGAGCTGTTGACTGTTTGCAGCTGCTGTCTTGGAAAAAGGCCGGACACAGAGGAAGTGCCCCAAACCCACTGCGTCAGATGGGGTCTGACTTGTCTCGACCCTGCAGGACAGACTCTGCTGATGGAAAGAGACCGTCTCAGCTTCCTCCCATGGAGCCACAAGTGGGTTTGAACCCTTGGCCGGAGATCAGCTGTCCAGTGCTTAGCCCACTGTGCCAGCAGGGCTCAAAGTACTCAGTCACAAGACAGCTCCTCCAGAGGAGATGCTGGGAGTGGGTCAGGGTGGTGTTGGAACAAGACGCCGGGCATCAGCTAGTGTCACTTAGTTGCACCTGTGAAGAATAAGGAAATGTCAAGTGTTTTGTTGAAAATCTCTTTACTGTCATCTTAACAAATGGAACTGCTAAAACGAAGTTCTGAAAGGTGGCCTCTCTAAGAAGGGAAGATTGTGGATACTGAGCTCCGATTCTTCTTAGGACCTGGGGGGATAAACTCTTTGTTCCTTAACCATAGCAACGGCCATCCCTCGAGGTTTCGCAGGGGTGGCCCTTGGGAGAAAAGAGCACCATCCCTCGGGAACCCAGAGACTCCAAGAGCTTGAGAGTTTGCCCAAAGCCACACAGATTGTACATGCCCAACCTGGGGCTTGACCACAGGTCTGGCTGGCTCCAGGCCCTCTGTGTTCTTAACTCCTGTAGCTGAGCCTGCTTGTTAGAACCAGCTCTGACTCTCACCTGCCTCACAGGAGAATCCCTTG